GGAGGGGGGGGGGGGCAAAAATTTAATTTCACACAAAATTTATTAAAATATTTAATTATATGTTATAATCTGTCTTTGAAAATCTTCAGTGAACTTTCTTAATTCTTCTTTTATAGCTTCTTTCTTTTCGTTAAAAAAATGATGTTCATAATTTGTGTCACTTTGTTAAAATTTAATGCTCCTTAATTTTCCCCTTGCGTATGCCGATTGACAATGTGTGTGTGTGTGTGTGTGTGTATATATATATATATATGTTAGTTTCTCTTTCTTTAAATTCTAACATTATTGACAAATGAAAAATGAAAGAACAATTATATAGTTTACTATAAACAATTTTTAATTAAAAAAATGTGTTTAATTGCTATCGAATAACTAAAAATTTAAATCACTTTTTTTAATTAGAAAAAATTCGTGTTGTTAAAAAAAGATTAAGCTCGACTCGGCCGATCGGTGTTTCCAGGTCACGTTGATCCGAACGAATCTGATATGGAGACGGCCTTGCGCGAAACCCAAGAAGAGGCTGGTTTCGTGGCGAACGACTTGAAAATTTTCGAAGACGCGAGGCACGAGATGACATATAAAGTGAACGGAAGCCCAAAGATCGTCATTTATTGGCTGGCGGAACTGCTCAATCCGGACAAGCCCGTGAGATTGTCGAATGAGCATCAGGCGTTCGACTGGCTGCCCCTATGCGAGGCGTGTGATCGCGCAAAATACGACGAGATGCGGAAAGCGCTTAACGAATTCGATAAATATATATCGCGAAACCTTGCGTAGATTTTGTTTCGAAGGATATATAATTTAAATACGTTTTTATCTCATTCAATTATTTCCAACTATGTATGTATATATGTACATACACATACTTTCGTAAATACTAAATATATTCAATGAAAACAGACCTTTTAATTTGAAATCGCTTTAAAAATGACGTTTCTCATGTGCACCAGAGGCTTCTCTCTGCCACTACGGCCACTACCTTCAGTTGCCTTCAGTGGCCTTCAGTGTCTGATGTCATCTCATATGTAGTCGTATCAGTCATATGAGTCATAGTATACAGAAAAAAAGTGCCTCTAATAAAGCCAGTAGTGCACAGAAAAAAAACATGCGATAATCGCGAATTAATCGCAGTCGAGAATTGCTGAAAACATAAGATTATCATTTTTAAACTCAGCTGTGATTGGTCGATTTGTTTATTGTTTAATTTCATTGCGTTTTTTTCTGTGTCCCATAATTCTTATATCAGAGAATCAAAGTCGATTCGCAGAAGTAACAGTAGAAACTACCAAGAAGAAGACTCGCAGAAGTTTGAGCGATAATTAATTGTTAACCATAATGGATAACCTTATACAAAGTCTACTATCTTTTCTAAAGTATTGGTATTTCCGATATACGCTCGTTACTGAGTTGTATATGGTAACAAGATGGGAAAGGAATTTTGTCAGTATCCTTTTTACATGGACTCACATCATGAATTATCATTTTTTTATACAACTTATTATTACACGACTTATTATCTTTAAGTTAATTCCATTTAAATTATCTCGACATCAATTAATTCGAGTTTTATGCATTGCAATAAAATATATAATCACAATATGATTAGTATAATATTAAATTTTTCAATTGTACATGTAAAACATTATCGTTACGAGAAAAATCTTTATATTTTTCTTACACTAATATAATAGACATTTTTTTTCTAGCGATGTTCTTTCTCTTCTTTCTCTTCAACTACAAAGTACTGCTGCCAGTCACGGAATATATTTTAGGAAATTGATTACGATTGTTATTCTTGCAACTTAAAAAAATTATATTGTTTCAACGTGCCAATGAATACCATTTGTACAACAAAATTGTATTCATATAAAATATACTAAAAATATAAATCTTGAAGAATAATTAATTGTGGTATTAAATTTAACATGGATAGAGGTAGCAACAAGACGCTAGTATATTAAGAACCAATGGAAGCTAAGAATTATATTGAGATCTTTACTTTATCTTGAACAATCCATCAAAATTACATTGAAATATTTTTTATTTCATTGTGTTAATATAAAAGCATTTCAAATATAAACCTGTCAAAATCATATCTTCAAAAAGTTAAGAAATTTCTCACATAAAATCAGCACATAGCTTTTTTACGATAGTCCAAAGTATCTTATTTGAGAAAACATTATGTATAAACTGATAATAAAATATTTTTTTTAAGCTTTAATTCTCCATCGTTAATTTTTTCTAAAAATGACTATGCAATATAATCGCTATATTAGGAACAGAGACAAATAAAATATATACACATAATAAATATTAAATTTTTATTTTTTTTTAATACGAAGTTCATTATACGAATAACCATTAACCAATACTTTTAACAATTTCTATAATATTATATATTTTGCAAATTTGTCAATATTCAATGATTTGCATTGTTACTCCGAATTCAATTCACTGCATCTGATATTCACTCCATATGTCGAAATTTAAAGAATTTACACAAATTATATATTTTCGTATCTGGCAATGAGAAACATCAACACAGACAGCTTTTACCTAATAATATTTAACATTATAAATAGGCACAATAGGAGTAATATGAACCAGATTTTGCAATGACTCTTTCTACCGCTCTCTTTCTCATTCTCCCCTTTTTTTTTGTAACTTTAGCTACGTAAATAGATTAATTTGACGACATAGTTTTGTGGTAATAAAGACTAAATTGCTGCGCCTTTCAGGCAATTAAGTTTTGGTATCGTTCTATAAAAATTAACAATATACAAACTGTTCCCGTAATTTAATTAAGATTAAATTATACATATTTAAAATAATGATTAAAAGATAATGTAGTTAGGAATAAAATAAAGAAATAAGTATAGTAGTAATAATAAGAACAATAGCAATGATATTGAAGTTTACATAATACACGATTTCGCAATACACTGTGCGAGTGTATGAAGCACTGTCGTCCTGATGTATTTACATGTAAGATTACTAGACCTCGCCAAGTAGGCACTTGTCGCGCTTGAAAACGCACAAGTCCTATCTTTCCTCTCTTTTCATTTCTTTTAATTATACTACGCCATCTCCTTCAGTATCTATTAATCGCTTAAGACGAATACAATGCTTTTATTGCTAATATTGCAATGATATTTTGTGTAACTGTGTGTGTGTCGGAGTCATGATATTCCTGATATTACAATGTCTCGTATGCATGTACCGCTCGCATTTGATACGGCGACACAACTGTAGATATGGGTAAAGAAACATAATTATGCAACATATAATAAAATTCTATCGAATATTAATACGAGGAGATTCATATCGGTAAACATGATATGGATCTACAGTCCGTGTGTGAATCGTTTTCCGTATCTAATCGCCTGACTCGCACTCTCTGTTTATAGTGGTACTCTTTGAGATAGCTCTTAAGTGTCTTTGGCAACTGCAGCATATTTATGCCATCGTACGTTGTTCGCGTGGTTATCACCGCTCTGCACAGATGCTGCAGCGGAAATGCGAAATTCCGATGTAACGGGATAGTGAGCATGGGCTCGAAAAACATACAACACGAGGGATCCTTATAATGTTCGATTAAACCACATACCTGTAAAGGTGTATATACAGATCATGGTTATACCGTGTCTATTAATTATCAAAAATGAAATGCAAATACAAAATAAATACGGACAAATGCATATATACGTATACGTACTGTTTCGGAAGCGTAAACTCCTGGGTCATGCGAATCAAAACTGAACTTGTGATTCCACTGTTCGATTCGAGCATGTAACGAGCGTCCGTATTTACGGAAGCTCACCGAAAACAAAAATTCCTCTTGTGCGGAATCTCGCAGCAAAAAAGTACCCTCTTGCTTGCCCTCCAATAAACGTTCCGCCTCGTAACGGTCCATCTTACCCCAGTAGAAAGAGCAGGCTGTAATCGACCTTAAGTCCGGCACGAGACAATGGACATAATCAACCTGTATTATAAAATAGCGAAAAAGTTAATATATATATATATATATATATATACACATCAATTATGAATTTATAAATACATATCAATACACTTTAGAAGATGAATATGTATATCGGAAAAAAAATAAAAGATACCGTAAAAATATAAAAGTTATCTAGACAAACTTGCGCAGCTACATAAGCATGTATATAAAGAAAATTATCCAATTATTTTTTACATGCGTCCGTGATAGAAATATGATTTTTTTCTTATTTATATGATTATGCGGCTATGGGTATTTGGATAGACTCTAAAGCCTACTCTACAATAGCCATAAACCGCGTAAAAATTGACAAATTACAATCGAATATGAGGAAAATAATCAATCATGATTGGTTAATTTTTACAGTTTAGTAAACACAAGTGTAATGTAGACAAACCTTGTATTTATATACATATTATAATTTTTATTTCAGCATATAAAATTACTCCTAAAGTATCGATATGTATTATTTAATTAAATTATATAAATGGTAAATAAATAGAAATTTAAATAATAAAAATGACTCACCTGCGTGTGTGCAGGTCTCTCAATATTTGGAATTAACGTAAAGTCTATTTGGGATAAGGCTGTAAGAGCGGCAGCTTGAATACCGGCATGTGCTTGGAACAATGCCGCCAAACTGTCCACCGTTATTCCGTTGGGATGAACTTGTATTCCCGTAGGATAATTAGGCCTATAATCGGGAGGGGGTTCAACACCTTCCTCCATCTCTCGTGCGCGTTGCATTCGAGCACGTTCGTCACAATCCTTTAGGAACAAAAGAAAATTGATACAGTGAAACCAGATCTTTGTATAAATTGCTCTTAAAAAGTGATCGAGAAATAAAAACGTACTTCCATAGGAAATTCTTCGGGGTTAAATCGCGATAAATCAATTACGGGGCTCGGTGGCAAAGGCCCGAGAACGGGACTTTGCGGAGCGGATCGACTATTAAACACGACGCCCGCACCCATAGGATGCTCCTCGGTTCTCCTATAACCGGTGCATATACAATCCGAGTTACCATTCCCTTGGCCGGGAATTATGTCAGCGTTTTTTGAGCTTTTGCTCTTGGCGCAATTAAATTTCAATACCCAGTTGCTACGTTTCTTTTTCGATGATAAAACATGGTTACATATTGGGTTTTGATCTTTGTTGCGCTGTTTATCTAATAATATGTGCAAAGAAATATGAGTTAGCATTGCATAACAATGAAAATTATTATGTATATGCGAGGAATTGATTTGATACATACTTTTTCTCTTCCCAAATGACAAAGTTTTAGAAGATCGTCTTAAGGGTGGATTTACAGGGCTATCTTCAGAACTGCTACTACTGTTACTACCACCAGAACTACTGCAACATGCTTCCTGTTGTCTAAATGACGGCTCGCTCGTAACATTACCATTGTTACAAACTTGCTTTGTATCCTGAGTTTCGACAGGTTGACTATACAAAGATTCAAATCTAGAATTATGGTTGTCTACATCTAAGTTTAAACGATCGTTGTCCAAATTTCCTTCTAGTTTACATTCTGGTCTGTTCGGCAGTATATTACGATTCGTTACAGGTACATTGCCATTAGTCTCGTTTTCGGGCAAACTTTCATTGCCATCTTGATTCACCATTTCCAAGGGTAATGGGTGGCTAAGCGCATTAGCGCATATCTCAGTAGGCTGCCTTTCACCATCCATTCTAAAGAAGTCTCTGAGACTAGCAAAGTGCTGTCCCATTATTAATTTGCATGGCAGGCATTTTATTGCCTTAATGATCCCTTGTCTACACCATGATTGTAGAAACTGCAGAAGACACTCGTTGCAATCTCTAATTCGGCATGACGCGATCCCAACTTTTCACAGGTTTTATATCCACTTAACCACATGGAGGATGTTACGTCAGAGAATGCAGTAGGTCTGTCGCATGTTCACCTATATAAATTTAAAAAATCAACGTATAACATATATCTACTAAAGAAATACTTATTCGTGAACATTTATAGTTTTAATATTTAATAGATATTTATATTTTCACATTCAAATAAATGCTTTTTAATATCAGAAATAAAGACACATCACGATCACATTCTCGTCACATTATCGAGCTGAGTGCAAATACTGAACCACACGTAATCACGCGTGATAATCCTAGCTAAAAAAAAAACGCCTCGAGCGCAAAATGACAGGCCAAGTCTAAGATTCGCACGTCAGTAACACTCGTATTAAATTAACTACTTATTGATAGAGTGACTCGCCTCGCGCACAGATGTCATTTTATTTTAAAAAAAGAGATGATATCAGTCTCTCGAAAAAGTATCTCCTAATGGTAGGAGGAGGTAGGAGTAGGTAGGAGCAAGCAGGAGCAAGTCGAGAAACACGTTTAAATGAGTTACGCACGGGACAAGCGGACGATTGCGGGATACGCAGGGCAAACGCACTGCTGAATTTTACATCACGATGGTACCACCACTAGGATCACGGAAATTATGCTTCCCAAGGCGACATGACCTCTCGTCGACCATCAGGCTCAAGGAGCAGTCAGCAGGCAACCAAAATTGTCAAAACACGTCCCGACGAATCATCAGCCATTTTTCCTAATTGCGACAAGTCATGGAATATATGTGCGCTATAGAGTACCGATCTACCGAAAAAAAATTGCGATTGTCAGATCTCGGGAACTTATTATACGGTTCTCAGAAATTGCTGAAGATTACAAAAGTGAGCAAATGCATTGGATGGTGGTGGATATCAATAAAATTATAAATATTTTAATAATGTGCGCAATACATGTGCTCCCTTCATAAAGTCTATAAAGGTACATCCACACACAGCTTAGAACATATGTTTTTAAGATCTACAGTACCGACTCTCAAACTTTTGCGATTCTCGAGAAATGATTGGCCGTGTTACCGCGCGCGCGGGACGGGACGCCAAGACAGTATGCAAGTGCCGCGAATCGCGCTCGAAAATTTTTTCGTGCTTTTTGTACGCGTCGGTGTATATCGACTGATATCGACCAGAACGAAATTTTTTATCGCGTGTTGCGACTCGCATTTGACAAGCTCTTCGAGGGAGGGGGTGGGAATAGTCCGAAACTCGTACTCTCGTAGTCGGATCATTCTCGGATTAGACGTGCGCCACCACATGCATATATATACACATCGCTGGTCGGTGCCGCAGCTGACAGCTGACGGCATTGACACTCGCGGTACACGCGATTCCGGTTTGACCGCTTTCTCCCGCGCGAGCATACTTGTCGCGTATTAAAAGTGCTCCGCTCGTCTGTATCGGTCCCGGCTTTTCCATAATAAAAAAAAATAAAAAAAAAAAAAGACCTCCCCAAATCCCTCTCGCCGTGATAAGAACCGGGTTAAGCACCATCCGCGCCTCCGTCATCGCGGAAGAGTCGGTATATCAAAATCGCCGAAGCGGAAGGCACCCTCGTCGAGCACGTTTATTCCACGTCTATAAGTTATTCGCCGTCTGCAGATAGGTAAGATGTCAGTTCAGCTGCACTGCCTTACACTATCTGCACGTGAAACGAGACGGATATACGACCGACGAGCAACGAAATAGAGACGAGAGAGAGGAGCATAGCTCTCAGATGATGATACACAGATCCTGAACTCTCTCGCGATGAGATATACTTCCCTCGTTGTGTTTCTCTCTCACCCTCTCTCTCGTCTTAGAAAGTTTTCCCTGTACTTTTTTCCAACGGTCGAGAGTAACCTTACATCTCATTCCGTGGCATAGTGTATAGTGATTGTCGGAGCAGACACGTGAACGATTTCGGCGAGCGTAAATTCCGCGAATACGTGGTTTGCACGTTTCGGCAACTAGGTACAGTATAATATGGTTCTATATCTTATTTCAGGAGATAGTTGTGGAAGATAAAAAAAAGAAAGAGAGAAAGTGAAAGACTCCTGACGGACGGTGACAACCATCGAAGAATATGATTGTTTGATTTATTCTTATAAAAATGTTAGATACGTATTGTTAGTTAATATTCTAAATTTAATCCTGCATCATATTAACAAACTCTGCGAAAAGAAAAAACAAGATTGTCCTATTGTTGCCAATATATATTACATTTTTTCACTTATCTGTGAATTTTTGCACATTTTTTGTAGGATGGCACGTGGGCAGCAGAAGATACAGTCTCAAGCCAAGGCAGCGGAAAAAAGTGCGAAACTAAAGAAACAGCAAGGACACAGTGCCAATGATCAAAAGAAGGCAGCGCAGAAAGCACTCGTGCACGTGTGTACCATATGCAAGGTCAGCATCTTCATTCAGTCAGTTTGCAGATGTTTGGAGGTTTATTGGCATAGAGTTGAATGTAAATTTTATTATTTGCAGGCCCAAATGCCAGATCCTAAGACTTACAAGCAACACTTTGAAAATAAACATCCCAAAACCGAGCTGCCCGATGATTTGAAGAATATATGAGGGTACGAACTGTTGTAAAGTGGAGATCACGGGTGAGAGGGCAGAAAAAATTTGCTGCAACTGACAAAGTGATATAGTTCAACATTCATCTGATCATTACATGATTTCAGAAAATAAATTAATATTGTTAGTGTTTTGACTAATCTATCGCACTCAATAGATTGTTGTTGCACGACTCAGAATATTAAGCATAATCGATGATTTACTTATATGGAAATTCTTGATTTGTAAACTACTATTTTTCACACACGTCATATAATCAATACTTTTCACGTACGTTAAACATTACATCTGAAGAGATCCTGTGTATATTTCTAAATAAAGTTTATAAATTTTGGCAAAATTCTGAAACATTTTAACATAAGGAAAAACGCAATATCGTCGATTTCTTATTTCTGTTATAAAGGAAGATGATATGTAAGGATGATATAAATGACTAATCAGAATTTTAAGTATTTATACATTAAGAGCATTTTTATTCAGTTCTTTATACAGTCTTGGCTATAAGTATAAAGCACCTCTACAAATTGACGTAAATGTCAATTCTATATCTAACGAAAAATAAACAATTTTGTTGAAAAATATTTTTATAATTTTAATATTTTGTTAGTCCTTTGGTTCTTATTGCCGTTCTTTCAAAAAAAATTGCAATAAATTAAGTGCTTTATACTTATAATTAAGGTAACTCGTTATTACTTTAAAAGCGTTTGTATTTCAATGAAAGCTTATACGAAAAAGCACTATAAATTTCCCTACTGTAAACTTCTTTATGAAAAGAATTATTTTCTATCATTAACTTTGTTGCATTTAACTGATAGTTATATTTTGAGATATTAAGTTTATAAAAACAATTCTTTAAATTACAAGAATTTGATACATAACAATCTTTAACTACATATAACTGCCAATTTATAGTTGATTATATTGTATGCTCTTTAAAATAAGAACAATCAATAGCTGAAACGGAGATATTACGTTAGCCTTTCTCTGTACATTTATAGAAGTAAATACTTTTATTGTTTATAAAACAAAGCTCGTTGTTATACTGAGCTGTCCACACACATACGCATAATTTTTCCTGTTACAGATAAAATAAATAACATTTTTTATGCTTGTAAAATATATATAGTACTTAAAATACCGTAATAAACTAAGAATAATTGATTCATCTTATATTGTTATGTATTTATTGTAATTGTAAGAAATGTAAGAGTATTCTGTTGTCTTCAATAAAGAATCCATTATTCTTGGAATGTAATATTATTAACATATTTTGCTAACGTTGCTTAAATTCTTTCCTTATGTACGAACGCGAGCCAAAAGTTTTAAAATTTTATTGAAATCTCATTACACACCATATTGTGCAAATATTGTAAAAGTACACATTGAGATCACGATTATCTTTCGTATTTTTATTTATTTGCTACAGATGATTGACTTGCAAGTCATTGCTTGCGTCATATAGCTCTTTCTTGATAACGATGACGTTATAAAATGACGTAATAAACTCTCCATGCGTTGCAACATATCTCTTGGATATATTAAAAAAATATTATAATATATTAGCAATGATATTTGCAATATTTATATATATTTGTACAAATTTTGTGACAGAATTTAAGTCTGTCGATTAAATGCGATGACATATATGCGCGATAAGTAACTGGCACATAGGCGTCAAGGCCAAAATTCTTGATGGGTTGTTTTCGGATGGTCTGCTTACTCGAATTTGGAATCGAGAAAACAATTTGAGAGAGAAAATAGGAAGATTTAATTAAACGTTATTAGTACAACACAATACAGAAAATAAAATAAAATGCACTAACAATAAGATGATAACTGTACAGCGAGCACACTATATTCTGATGAAAAAAGAGGAATTGTTAAATTATTCAAGTAACGAGACTTCTCCGATGATAACGTCTCATATAATAAGGAGATTATTTTTTCCGACAATTTTCGAAGATGTCGAAAATTGTTCTTTTGCGCACACAGCGCAGTGCTAACATAATATTGTTTATCAGCCTTCACGTACACATCTGCATTATTATATAGAGCATTATCTGTGCTAATAAAAATTTATTGTATACGCGAAAAGATAATACGTAAGAATAAGAGCATTATAAGTGTTGAATTCTGATTACGAAGAGAGAATCGAGTCACAAGGGTCATTAGCGATATTTAATTGACAGTCGAATACAAAGTAAAGGCACTTGCTAATTGCTCGAATATAATTGACGACTTGCTCTCCGATCTCGGTGATCGGAAATTGTACGAAAATTTTTCCCAAAATCAGATGTCACAATACGTCACAGTAAGTTGAAGTCGTTTGCTTTTATCAAACGTTACTAAATCGAATCGTCAGTGTCGTGTAGAAATTGTTACATCACATTGAGAAGTAATTCAGTGATAATCATTGGCACGACGCGCGAGGCGCAGCGGTGTGTGAACTCACGTATCTGCGCACACTATCGTAACGACTCTTATTTATCACGGCGTATATAAATGCGGCAATTGCTGTATCACTGCGGCAGTTTTCATTCACATTTAACGCGGTTTTTGTATCGATATTCAGCGTCGGACAAGAGCCGCACGGTTTCGTCATCGGGTCGAGTTAAAGGTACGATATCTCGTAAGAGAGGAAGAAATAACAAGTTCAAGAGTATCAAAAACTGGCTGATCCTCTTTTTTTTTAAGAAGAAAAGTCTTTAGAATTAGTATATTATAAATAAAAGTTTAATTTATATTTGCACCAACTTTTATCCATTTTTTATTGCTGTAGTTAGTGTAGTTTAACCAAATTCAGATCTTAACTTTTTCAAGTTGTTAAGAAAGTAAGTTAGAAAAAGCTCGCTAAGCTCTTACCTTTATTCTGTCTTTGTAATGGTAAATCTGAAAATTTTTACATATGAATTATTGAAAGATAAAGAAAGATATAAAATAAACAGCGAAAAATTGGAAACTTATTCTGTCACACTTTTATAAAATTCCTATAATATGCATTTCTTAAATGATTATTTCGCTAAAAGCTAGCGTAATCGATAATCATTAAAAAGTAAATAATCGTAGAATATGTTAAGACTAGAAACAAATAATTTGATTTCATAATCTTTACTTTATCAGTTATCAAATGTATCATATTGGATATATTAATCGCTGCAGAGAATAGTTATTAATAATTATTGTCAAGAATCATTATCATACATTAAGTTACATTGTTAACATGTTTAATTACGCGACCGCTTCCGCGTTTAATCTTGCACCGAGTTACCGCGCTTAATCAGACTGCACCAACATCCTCGGGAGTAAATAGAAAATGCTAGGAGACGATGGAATTACTCCCGGTAGGCACGTGGCACTGTGATGTGAAGGGAGAGGTCACCCTTCTCTCATTTGCCTTCGGTGTAAATCTGACGCTTGACTTACATTAAGAGCCCTTGACTACACTACGTGAGATAACGATAATTTATGCGGAAATAATTCACACGTATGATGATGAAGCCATCTCATTTGGTCGATCTTGCAGATAGAAACTTGCGTCGGAATGCGTGATTAATCTCTGATTATAATTAAAGGAAAGTAGTTAACATGTAGAATAATCAAAAATAGCTAACGTGAAATAATAGGAAAAATAGTCAAATTATATAGTGGGATTAAATCAGAATTAAATATATTCGAGATCTATATGGTCGTGAACAGTAAATGTAATCGCAAGAGAAGAAATAATTAAATAAAACAAAAAATATGCGCTATTACGTTAATGTATATGACTGATAGTGATTAGAACGATAAAGGCAAAATAACGACTGACAAGTATAATTCCATTTTAATAAATTCATTAAAGTTCTTTTCGATATATATTTTTTACTTTCACATTACAATTACACTCTTTGGTAAGATGTACGTTGATTCCACAGTTTTGTAAAGTCTCATTCCCTCGCGATGGTGGATTCCGTATTTCGCACTCGTTCTCTCGGTACACCAGCCGAGGGTGTCAAGGATCAATATGCGGACGGCAGAGCGGCAAAAGTTTGGGAAGTTTTTATCGGCGACAAAAAACAACGTACGCAGAACTATCGGGATTTCCTGGTAGGTCTGCTGCGGCAAAAGGGATGCCGTCGAATATTGGATGTCGCCTGCGGTACTGGCGTCGACTCCGTGATGCTGCTGGAAGAAGGTTTTGAAGTAGTCAGCGTCGACGCGTCTGACAAGATGCTCAAGTACGCGTTAAAATCCAGATGGGATCGTAGAAAAGAGCCTGCCTTCGACAACTGGGGTGAGCAAGTTGGACGTTTAATATTTTAGAATAGAATCAAATTTTTTTGCCTAAAAAGAATTGGAAAAATAAAACAAAGATAAGCGAAAGATATTCGTGAAATTTAAAGAGAAATACGATTTGAGGGTTAGTTAAGTTACATACAAATTTGAAATAACATCTTGACGCAAGAGTTGGCCTTTATTCGGATTGAGAAATATTATTATAACGCTATATGCGTGCATTAAAAAAAATTTAAATCAATATTGCGATAACGGTATAGGTCGTACATTTAATATTGAATCATTAAATGTGCACTTATAATCTTTCCGTCGATAAAAGTTGTTATTGTTAACATATATACAATCTGACAAAATATTATTTCTGACATATATTTATTACACATGAAATCAAAACCAGATAAAGTACTTTAAAGCACGACAGTCGAGTATATCGCTCGAAAACAGGCACCGGATTGCTTATCATTATGCCGGATTTATCAGTATTTAATAGAAGTACAGAAAGGATCTTTACGTTTACGTACGTCAGCAAAAGTTAATCGCGACTTCTCGTTTTCTATTTCCTGGCCTTCGACCTCGTGATTCCAATCACGCGATGTATTTGTAAACCGAAAACGCGAATAATGCATATGCCAATAAAGTTGAGACAAATAGTTATATTAAATGTTATACTAATAATAATTATCAAATATATATTGTATATTAGTTTTAGAGTATTAAAGAATAATATATTCACAATAAAGTCCAAGAAAAAAAGGTAAAGATTTTATTTTGTCGATATATAATTTAAGAGAATTCTGTAAATTTGTTGAGAAACACATCTTTGCAATTATCATTTTGATCTTTTGGATTGTGACAGTAATCGAAGAAGCGAATTGGCTAACTCTACCCAGCGATATTAGTCATCTGATTGGAGAAGGTTTTGATGCCGTTATATGTTTGGGAAATAGTTTTGCTCACATGCCTGATTCTTTCGATGATCAGAGAGAGCAGAGGTATTAAATTCATTATATAGATCATATATTAGATTATAATCGGTTGATACTTCGGAACATTGATTCTCAAATTGTATTTACAAAGCGTAATCCAAAGTATAAAATTATAGTTAAACTTGACAGAGATTAATACAGAACATTTTATTAATCTAATTATTCATAAGATATTTGATTATTTTAGACAAGCCTTAGTGAATTTCGAACGTTGTGTAAAGCCGGGGGGTTTATTACTCATCGATCACAGGAATTACGATTATATCATTAGAACTGGCCAAACTCCTTCAAAATGTATATATTATAATGTAAGTATCGTTTAAAAAATGTAATTATTTATTATTAACGTCATTGTATTAGAGACATTGTATTAGAGGTAATGAAAAACTTGGAAAAGTTTTGAGATTATCTATTTCAATTTACAGAATTATTCTAATTATTTTGCGTATTTAGCTTGCCGTATCTGAGTAAATAATTGTTAAACTTTTTCGTTATTTGAGAAAATTTTGCATTAAAAATTGTCAATTTTTCATAACGCAGAGTCAGCATATGACGGATATCAAGACATCGGTGCTCTACGTTTCCGGAAAACCGAGAATTGTTACTATGGATTATATGATCGCTTTAGATGAGGAGAACAAAAATAATCCCGAATTTATCAGCGAATTTAGGCTGTCGTATTATCCTCACAGATTGACAATTTTCCGCGACATGCTGACCGAAACATTTAGCCACGGAGCGAAACACACTATCTACGGTGACTTCAAACCACTCAATCAAATCGAAGATCCCGGATTTTACATCCACGTATTGGAGAAACAACATTAAAATAGGACATTGACATAAACAGTCGATGTAACTACGTGATATTCGTTTTTTAACAGTGTCATTAATTTTTTGGAACAAACGTTCCGTCACACTAGACAGAATGATATTCAACGTAGAATCTGTTATTAATTAATCTGTCCACGTTAAGAAACGAACGATGTGAAGATCAATTAAAATAAGATATTTTTTATTAAACATAAACTATAATATCCAATTAGAATTATATAGTGAATACTACGATTAAAAAATAGTTGCAAAATATAGCATAAAATAATATTATAACTAAGAAATATATTTTACGCATATAAATTATGTCAAAAAATTCTTTATTTATGAAAATATAAGCGAAAAAATATGAATATGATAATGAATTTTCACCTGTGAAGAATATATTTTAAAAGAAAACCACGGAAATATATAGGTTTTTAAATGTTTTTATTATAAGTTTGAAAGCAGCTTTTTCATTGAATATTCTAACCAGATTTCGTTCGATGCTACAATTTGACTTTTCATGGATATTCTTCGAGCGATCATTGACGATGATTTGTTGGATAATATTTTGGACGTATTTTTGTGATTTCATATTTGTTCTCTGTCATATTTCTCACGCAGTCGACACTTGGAATAAACGCGCGAATGTGGGGACAACAGGAAGACTACACGTTTGCTGAATGCAAATTGACTATCCTATGCGACTTTCACCCTTGCACGTAACTGATTGCAAACGAAACGATACATTTCTATGAAATACATAAAATCATTCGAATAAATCATTCGATTCTTTTGCAGTCATTATTGCCGCGATCTCATCGTGTTTTTCACTCAGGAATTGACATGATCAAAGTACCTGCGATACGTATCATCTGTCCACATTTCATCAATCGTCAATGATCCTTTCAACTTCAAATCGGCGGAGAAATTGCTTTCGCAAATTCTTACTTGAATCCACCCCCGATCGTTCGCTCTATTGGGCCCCGCAAAACTTGACAAGAGTCCCATCGTTACGTAAAGAGTGGCCACTATCGTAGAAATCGAACCCCGAGAGATTATTATCGTTTAGTAGGCAATTTTGCATAGGGAAAGAAATGGAGATGAGAAAAAGAGAGTCAGAAAGAAGGTAGAAAAATCAAGTAGATTCCTTTGGATTCTGTTCGATTTCTTCGATGTACATTGCACATACTGTCTGCATTGTATTGTGAAAACAGGAGGTATTTTTCGTTGGAGAAATGGTTGAAGAGGATAATAATTTACAAGGCCAAGGATTTGTGTTACGAGTGCAACGAACTGCCCATATAGAAAAATGGACGAAGTGTTATAGCAAAAATCTTTCCCCCCCCCCCTTCTATCAGTATATATGTATATATATGTACGTATATATATTTATATATTTATAGTTTTTCAGTTTTCAATCTTTTTTTTCATGAAATTCGTACAATACCTATCACGGCTTCTTCGACGGTCGTTGCGAATACTCTCGTCGTCATCGTCGTATCGAATTTCTCTATATTTAAGGCTCTCGAGATCGCACGCGGCGATTGTGACATGCTACTTAGCGTGTTGCGGCTGTATACATAATAACATAATAATAATACACATAAATTATACTATTTTAGAGTTTACTTTAATCAACGTCGCATGGATTGAGAAAAACTAAGATATGAATCGCCGCTTTTTTATGATCCTGATTAAAATTAATTTATACTGAAAAATGTATGGGTATATATCGCTGATCATCAGCTCGATAACGAAATTCGACGACGTTTTATTCTAACGAAGATTTTTCGCTTGATCTAAAATATAAAGTTTAATATAATAATCTACATGACAGTATAGGAATAATATAACTTTTTGATAATTGATAATGATCAAGGACAGCAAATTAGCTTTCGCAGCAACTTTCGAACGCGGATTTGTACATGCCGTGTAGTAACTCGTTGTAACGAGTCACGAGAATTGACTTGCTTCTTAAAACTTTCGAGCGAATAAGCACGTAAGGTCAGGGACAACGACTCATATTATGACATTGTCGTTCGAATGGCGATTGTTCGTATTATTGCGAAGTAGCTGATGTAAAAAACCGTAATATCGTATTGCATTTGTACTCTCTCGTTTACATCCAATGACGACCTGCCCGGCTGCACAATGTGACTCACGAAAGATGTTCACATAAGAGAAATATGATCGTCTTTAAATATTCTTAAATATTCTAAACATATTTTCTACATATTAGTTTTACCTACTTTTACTGTATGATTTCTCATATTCAAAAATAAAGAAAAGACAAATACACGTTTATTACAAAAATTTTTGCAAAAATTTCGCACTTGCAAAGGTCTTCGTAATAAGTAAAAATAATTAATGCAATCAAACGATGACAGTGAAACATATTACACAGTTTCAAACAATTTGATCAAACGGGCAGATCGCGAACGGAGAGACTTAATTATTTATTCTTTTTACATTTACACGCGGGCACATTCATTCCTATACGCTCGTTTTTTGCTTCCCTCTCATAACTTTTTCTATTTAAAAAAAGCTGTATAGATTATTTATTTTATATTATACTCCATGGACGCAGTCAGGGAAGGGACGAGGGCCAAGGCTCCGCCCCTTAAATCTTAGAAGAAAAACAGAAATAATTATTCATAAAAAATTGAGGTGAAAGTTATAGAAAGATTTTCTGAGAATCCAAGACGTTTACTGTTATAAGTTCAAGTTTCCAGTTTCTTTCCAGTTCGAAGAATCAGTACAATTTTAAGACAAGAATAAAGTTAATTAAATATAAGTGATTTTATAATTTACCAATCAGCAATTAATTAAAAATAATAATATAAAATAAAACAAGTCCAATAGTTTACTCGATAGCCCCGCATATGTTATAAATTGAATTTACACAAATGTAATCCTATTGTTGATTGAGTGGAAATTAATTGCAAAAATCGAGCATTTAACGTATGGCCCGCGCGATATGATTGGTGTGCTTGAAAAATTTCAGCATATCGCATTTCTATATCAATCAATGAGCGATAGACTTAATCGTTTAATTGGCTTAATTGCTACAATTTCAACAGTGTTAAATCTTTTTCTTTGCGTATAAGTATATAAACTATGATAGAGCCAGCTATATCGTTTCTGTCTCTAAATCTATTTAACAAAGTTTTCAATTTTTCGATAATTCTTTTTTCATAACATGAAATTATATATTCTCTATTTATATATATTCTTTCTTTCTTATTATATTTATATATGTATATATGTACACGCGCAAATATATATGTATGTGTATTTTACGTGTGTGCACGCGTATTTGCGTCTATACTTTCGATTTAATTAAATGTTTTCGGTGATGAGAATTGTGCCTTTGCTCTTCATGGTTCTTAAAAATAGAAAAATATTAATTTTTTACAATTGCTACAAACTATAAAATGATTGAATCAAAGAGGTGATTAGAAGTGAAAAAATAGTTCTATTGATACAAATTAATTGTTTCCTCTACACTTCATCTCTTCACAAATAGCAATGGCAAGTAATTTAGATTCATATATAAATTGTATGATAATTTAGATTTGATTTGAAAAATACTTGCAAAAGATTGATTGTCAGCTCGTTTCATTATTAGCAAAGACGCCATTCTCGTCTACAACAGTAGCAGTTTTAACAACGTGCTTTCTCATTGTATGGTCAATGATTATGCAAATATATATACATGTCATGTTACAAGATATATACATCTAATATTGCTGTTTTGGCTTCGTATATATTTCATACGAATTTGTAAACGTAGCGCCATTCCTGCGTAACAATACTATTTGCACAAGAGAAACTTTTCTTGACGAATTAATATCTTCGTCAACTTGAAGAACAAATTCAGGAAGTCAAATCACACTTTTTCATTGCTTTATTATAACCATTCGTCGTGTGAAAAATAGTATGTGTAAAATAGTAATAAGACTAAAATTATCAAATAAATAATTAAGATTAAGAAAATGTTATCGAAAGTATTTTCATAATTTATGACTTTAATATAATATAAATTTGAATAACAATGACAAAAATTTGTAAAAAATATAACAACGAAAATAATTAAATTTTATGCGAGATTAATTAAAAACTTTTAAATTACGATTTCAATTGAAACTGCTTAAATTGTACTTGCAATATGCAACAGATTGTGTCGCCAGTTCTCTCTTGGATAGAACGACGATCACATTTGCAATTCTATTGACTATTTGTCGAGTACGACGAGACAATTATTTCGATTCGTATTCGATTAGCTCTTTCATTCTTCTGCTCTAATTACTCAACGTTGCTCGATAACGTTATTCAAAGTAAAAAAAAAAACGTAAAATATATTTGAATTGAAAATTTCTAAACATTTTTCAATTAAGATAAAAATTCCTCTATCTGTTGGTACTGTCGGTAGTACTCAAACTACGTATTAAAATTTTTGATTAATTTCTCTCGAAATTATATCGACGTAATGAAGCCCTTGAGTTTGTATCAGGTACTTTTACTATTGCAATACATATTCTGTCTATCTATAGGAAAATATATTTAAACATTGTACATGTGCTCTTTATCTAACCGGCTGTCTCTTTTAAATAACTCGTGCAGAACCAATAAAAAATGAGGATACAATATAAATATATTTGAGACTCAAGCTATTAAAAATAATGAGTATTGAAATTTACACGCTAAAAAAATAATTATTCCGGAAATGTTTTTACTTTTCAGAAAAAAAGTCTGAAATTATATCTTTAGATTTTCATCTAAATTAATTGCTCAAGGTCCTAAAAAATTATTTGTCTTTAAATATTTTAGCCATCAACAAGTACTATTTTTAGTATCATAAAATTTATAATACTACTTAAAAAAAAGAAGCCGTAAAATTTTGAAAAAAATTTTAATTATTATTTTATATGTAAGATTTTTATTAATATATCGCGTATTATTAGTTTCTATTTTATATTTCTGTAACATATTCTCCATGTCTTCGACTCTAAAACATTTTATGATATTTATTGAAAATTAATATACTTGGTCGATTCTGGCTATACAACCTTGACAATCTGGTTAGACACCATCGTTACAAATTATATCACGAATCACATGCGCGAATGCTTGGCTTAATTATTACAAAATGCCACGTTGCCTCATTAAGAGAGACAATGGCTTGGTGTCGACGTGAACCGTTTTTGTGGCCGGAAAGAGGCTTAGAAATATAGCATAATCCCATGATACTACCGTGAAATTCACTATATGATGCACGTGAATCTATATCTACCTACCGTGTGTATATGTGTATGCCTATACAAGGGTGGATATACTCCCTCGGAGAGTTTCGATGTGTCTCGAAGAAGCCGTTGCCAGCGAGTAATTCGTACCTAAGACGTATTTATTTATCTCGTTTCCTCGTTAGTCGCGTCACTTTTGGCCTTGTAGAATTATGCTGGCGTTTCATCGGCTCGAGATAAAATCTCGATTCTCGCCTCGTCTTTCCTTCTAGTCATCTTGAAGAGCAATTAACAAAAATGCGAAGCTCTTCTCTTTAAATACGTATTATGTCTATATTTTATCAGAGTCGATATATAAACAGAAATATCGACACTTTATATTCGTTAACAGCGACGTTTGCTGTTCGGAAAAAAGCAGAATCAACTTATTCACAATCAGTACTCAATCAGTGCAGTTATCGAAGAAGTTCAGTCACACGCGTAAAGTAGCCAACAATTAAATCTTCCAGCTGCATCACGAAATGATGAACCACCGCGTAACATGCCATCATCATGCACGTAAATAAAACGAGAGAATAACGAACAGTAGCGATTGTTCGATGTACATATTACATGAACGTTTTAGAATAAGATAATTGCGAGCGCGTTATCGTACAGCGGACTTATGTTCTCACGAGAAACTAAACTACCAAGCGTATTGGATGATGAACTTTTTTTGACCGCGCCGCGGCAGATTGTCTCGAGGAGAGGAAGGAAAGAGATAATCGGTGCAAAAAGAACTTTCACAAATACTCCCTCGGTCTGGGCGGTGGTCTCTTACGGTCGGATCTCTCGGCGGTCCTGTCCGCGACAGTCCTGTCGATCGGTCCACCGCTCGAGTCCCGATCATCGGTACACTCGAGCATCTGCGTGGTTTCCGTGGCCTCTGAAGGACTCATTGGCTGCGTGGCGAGAGGAGCAAGCGGCGCCGCACCTTTGTTGCGCGATTTGCTGCGCCGCTTACGCAGGATAAGCGGCCCCAGGGCATTCGAGTCATCGCCGCGCGACGTGGAGGCCTGCGCCAGCCGCTCCAGAAGCTCCTTGTTGACATCCCGCGATGACGACGATTGATGGTGATGGTGATGATGATGGTGGTGCTCCTGGCCGCTCTTCGACACACGCTCCGTCGCCGTCGACTGCTCTCGATAACCCTCGCTCGGTGTCGTGGATGTCGACGTGGTAGCGATCGACGGTCTGTACTCAGTAGTCTGAGTAGCAGACTGAACCAACGTTATCGCGCTCGAGGTGGCGGGTGATTGACAACTCTGGACAACACCGCTCAGAGTGAAGCTCGGAATCTTCTGTTGTTGAAAATTACTGCCGCCGTTACCGCCGCCGGACGATGACGTTCCGACGACGGCTGCAGGCAATTTGTTCATCAGCGCCTGTAGCATGTCCTCGATTTTGGCTAGCCGCTGATTTACCCTTTGCACTTCTAGCTTCAAATCCACTTTCACTTCCAGTACCGCCGCAAGAATCTCCCGCTCGTGACTCGATTGCTGCGTAATCAGACCACCGTCGTAGCTCTCTAGACGTCGCAACTGCAATTGCTTCGAGTCTACGCTGAGGGTCTGCTGCGCTTGTTGCGCCTGCTGTTGCTGAGCATCTTTTTCGACATTATCGCCGCTCTCTTCGATTGTGCCTCCCAATTTGCTCAGCTTCGGGAAGACCTTGTTGGTGCCAGCACTAGATCCTGGCCGCGGGTCTCTAGCGCTAAGAGATCGCTTGAATGTATCGCCGGCTGTGCCCGATTCGCTACCAGTGTCTAAACTTGAGCTACCTGCAGCATCAAAAGTTTTTTCATAAATCTTCAACAAATATATAATTTCAATCTTTTTTATTGTTTTAAATAGCGTTAAGTATATCTGATTGATTTGATTGATATAATTGATTTAACGTATATACATACAATTAAAATTAATACAAATTTATTTTTAATTTTACCTAATAAACGACCCCACTTGCCGGGTCGCGTTTTCGTGATGGTTGTTCCACCTTCCTCGGGAGTAGATAGCTTCTTGGCATGCGACGTTTCGCCATCCTTGGCGTCTTTACCGTCGCCCTTCTCTACGTCGGCAGTGTGTTGTCTTTCGCGGCGAAATCTGCATGGAATAGAAAAAGAGAAAAATCGCTTTGTTTTAAATGTATAAGCCATTTACAAAATACGTTTACATACGAAGAAGAGGATACGATAAAGGCTGGTTATTCCCTAGATTTGGACCAGGGCAGCAAAGTACAAATGCATATAGAGGGCCAAGAGTGTGAAGGAGTGCTGGACAAAAGACCATTCTCACGTGAAAAACTTAATTTGTCTATTTTTCTATATAAATTCATTGAGTCTCGTTTTCTCTTTTCCGATTCGATTAATTGTATCTACAGTGCATCCCCGAACTAGTTCGGGGCCAAGCTAATCAGGTTATCATCGTAGCGTAGAATACAGCCGCCTACTATCGAGAGCTAGAAAAAGGAAAGTAGCCTCGGTTGGTTGGCGGTCGAGCGACTTACGGTGTGCCGTGCCTATATTATACGGGATCCACAACGGTGGACAACGTTGGCAAAATATACGAGAGGAAATCGGAGAACGTTGGTAAACACCGATGGTGAAAACTTCGGTCAATTTGCTGTAGAAAGAATAATCAGAACACGTTCTGACGTATACTATCAATAACGTTCGAATTATACCAGAGTTTTATAGTGTTTTGCATTGAAATATACAAATCCCTCACTACAATTTCTTAATTCAGTTCAAATTATGAGTGTAATATGTCGTTCAATATGTTCTTTAAAAAGTTCTTGAGAGGTCTTATCTTCTTCGTGAGATTTTGTTTTCGGCAACTGATGTCAATAAAATAGCAAAACGATACTGCTAAAGAATGAGACACATGAATTGAGAGGGTACTTAAATTTGAAAATGTTTCTCAATCTTATTGTTAGTATACAACACATCGTTACTGAATTAATAATAAATCATGTATTTGTGATGTATTAATTGCGAACGCTATAATAACATAATAGTATTTTTCTATGCATGAAAAATGATTATATTAAAATTTTTCAATGGCTGCATTTATACACGGATTTTGCGCATAATAATAAAAACTAATAAACTATATTAAAATCTATTGACGACAGATAAACTAACAAATTGATATTTACTAATATGTAATATAAATTATCGACAAACATGTAAAAATTATTTAATTTTTTATTCATTCTTTAAAAAGAATGTCATAGAACACCGATCAGTGTCGACCAACGTTTATTTTTATTTGGTATGTTACCTTTTGGGACGACAACGGGATGAGAAATTGCCTGACAAACTTTGGGAATGCCACTTTAACGAATATATTAAACGCGGCGAATAGTTACGTTATAATTATTAATTATTGATGCTGTCACAGCGCCTTTGTGAAATGAGGTTCGCGTAAGCAATGGAAAGTACTATTAAAATCTTATTGTGTGTATCAAAGCACGCCCACTTTTTTCAGAAATTAATCAATCAACGATTTACATAAATATTTTTTACTTTTCATTAATGTATATACATATATATAGCTGTAATATTATTGTAATAACATAAGTCGAATTAATGTTTCGATTATATAAACAATCGTCGAAAACGCTAAATATATTTGACAAGTACAAAAAATTCTTTTGCCAATTTTTAATATATACATATATATGTATGAATATGCAATTTCTACTAAAATATTAAAATCATGCATTAGATTGAATTGACAAAAGCGATTAAAAATCTTTCATATTTGATTAAATAAAAAATACACTATTATTGATTATTATTACAGAATAATATTTATATTTATAATAATAATATTTAAATTAAATTTAATAACGTAAATTAAATGTACGTGTATAAGTTTATTTTATTATTATTATCATCATTTTTAAAGAAAAACTTGATTTTCTTTATCATGCATATAAATCACAACCGTCTATAAGAGTATCGTATATAAGAGTTGTTCTCCATTGCAATAATAATCATTACGAAAATTGTTATCAAGGTAGTGAATATAAATAATTATGCTACAAAGAAAAGTAGCGTAAGGCTATCAAGTAAAAATTCGGAAGAAATAATTAGCGATAAAAGCATATTGCATATGAATCAGGCAATTGAGAATGCGGAAGTCATAGACATATGTATATTATATATATAATAAGATCGTTGATGATTATAATAGAAATTTAAAAAAAGCAGAATATTGTAAATGCAGCGTGATATTCGTTTAATCTTCTCTCTGGCATTCCAATAATTTCTCGGGCATCTACATGACAGTATTTTGTATATGTTCGTATGTATATATGCACTCTCATCAAAGATATCCAACTATGTAGGAGACAAAGAGAAATCTGAATACTAGAGTGTGTGCGTTCGTCACATGCACTTGGCTTTGCATAAAAATTGAAGATGCTCGTTAAATATATCAGGATTTCGGCAGTTTCTCTCACCTTACTGTCAGCGTTGCAAATTTACGCAATCGAATGCGCGATTAATAATTATATTCGTGGTCATTAATTATATACAGGTGAAATATTGTTTACTTGGAAAGTATTATTGTCGATATCAATTTTGTTAAACATATTAAATCGTACTGTATGATTTGGGGGATCTCCCTTTTATTAACAAAACTCGTAAGGATTCCGAATGTCGCCATAACGTTATGGCTGTTATGTCACTCTAGCGCCGAAAATAAAAGCTGGCAGATAAAGTAAAGCTGTATAAAAAAGGAAATTAAAACTGTACGAAATCCTGCAATTTATGCTATGTAACTCTGGTTTTTAGTTATAAAATATGATTATGCGAAAAAGATGCGCATGACCTTGTAAAGCCACATATCTTACAGCACTCTAGCATTCGTTAAAAACTGCAGTATAATCATTAATTAAAATAATGATACTGATACAATACCGCAAATAAAATGTACGTCTCGTGAAAATGTCTGCTGGAAGGACGAACAAACTGAAGCGTTTTATTAACGTAAAATCTTTGATAAATGATTAAATGTTCAGGTATTAAATTAGTATTAAGGTAAAAATTAGATTTATGAAAAAATTGCTCAACGATCTCTAAATATTAAACAAAATCAAATCCTACTTCTAATTTATCCTTCATTAATTTAATAAATAGTGAAACATCACATATATAATCATATCAATGTTCATATCAATCATATAATATAATACTGTAAAACAAAAACCAATCATATTTCATATAGTTTATATATGTATTTTATCAAAAATACAGAATAATGCAAGTGCCATAGACGTAATAAGTATAGACTGCGCATTCCTTATAATTAAACATCTGTGCTCCGTTAGAAAGAGAACATAATTTTGAATAATTTCGTTATTTCTTGTTAATTCGCTTTGGTGGGAGAAACATAGAGAAGGATGTCTCTATTCATAGAGTTATGATGTCCCCATTACTGATATTTTGAAGAGAGAGAGAGAGAGAGAGAGAGAGAGAGAGAGAGAGAGAGAAACTTTAGTCGTGATGTTATTGCCACGTTAGAACAGTAACGTTTAACGATAAAGTTTAACGATGA